GTTTACTAAGCACTGTTATACTTTCGAAAATCACGATAATATATATATATATATGTCCATGCCTAATATTCGATGACCAGAAAGTGATAAATTTTTTTATAAATTGTTAAGATTGTGGTATTTGTGATGCAGCAAGGCAAGAGATTGTTGTGTACACCATAACTTTATATAAAACTCACTTTAATGTGTGATATGAATAAAAAGTGATCATAAACGTTTATTTTCTCAATTTAATTGAGTGGCGGCTTGGACCCGGAAACAGTTATACAAATGTCACCAACACATCACCATTTGGGATAGCTCAGGGTCCATTTTAGCTTTTTTAAAGACCTCATGTTTTCTCCACAAAAGTATTTAGAAATTTCTTAAATGAAACGTTTAATTATTCTATTACTGCATAAAATCTGAAATGAAAAAAGTCTGTAGTCTACTAATTCTAGTTTTTACCTTACATCTCAGGCTACATTCACACTGCAGCCAAATGTGGCCCGAATCAGATTTTTTGCCCACATGTGACTCAGGTAATGACAGTGTGAACAGCAAAAACAGCATGGAATTTGATCTTTTCAGTTCAGATTTGTGCCACTTGCATATGTAGTCTTAAATCAGACACAGATCTGATGTTTTGCAATGCGACCGCAGTGTAAAGGGTTATGTCAAATTTGATGTGACTTTTACATAATCTTTGAGCGGCATGCGTCATCATTTTGTGTAGCAGTCATCTACTCCTCAGCAGCATAGTAGAATAGCACACATGGCAATTACTTTACCACAGAAAGTTGGTTGTTCATTTTGAAAAAAAATTTGGAGGCAAAACTGGTGCTTGTTAACGATTGAGGTACAAGTTGACCGCGAAGCCTAAGAGCATTGTGTGTGTTGCAGGGGATCAGTGTGCACAGGAGGGAAAACTTTCTCTCAGAGAGAAAAAAGGGCAGATGCTCGAGCACCCAAACCCCCTTCTGTGCGTGTCTGCTGTTTATAACGAAGTAAAATGAAATAACTCTGCAAATGGAGATAAAACAACTTCACAGTTCAGTCTGCGGCTGCTCATTAACTCTTGGAGAGTTTACTACACTGGTGGATAAACAAACGCGCAACGCGGTTGTCATAAATAACAAATGATCAGTGTTTTTAATCTCAAGTGACTTATTTTAGATTTCAAATGCCGAAATACACATTAGTAGTAGCAGAACAATCGTTTACAGTTCATGAAATACACCACGGTTGTCTGTGAAAACGGTAATAATCATATAAGCATGATCTGACAACTTGCTTCCTTCATACGTGTGCATAATTAGACATTTTGTGCTGTTCGTATCTGTACTTTTGCGCATGCGGGTCAGTTTAGGACCATAATCTGTTCACACTGCAAATCTGATATTGGCCACATCTATAAGAGCAGTGTGAACAGCCATGCAAAAACATCAGATCTGAGAAAAAATCTGATTTGAGCACTAAGCCTGGCAGTGTGAATGTAGCCTCAGTGTATATTATTTCCAACTGAAATACCATGCTTTACTATGAATGACTTATGACACAGGCAGATAGCAGCATTTAGCTGACTTTAAATAAAAGAGTTAGTTCCAGGTCTTAGTATTACATGCTCACTTTCAACACTTATTTTTGTCTCTTAACTCAGTGGTTCCCAACCTTTTTCTTTGGGGCCCCCCCCATGAACATATACAAACATTGGAGCCCCCCCACCATATAAATACACACGCACGCACAAACATATGTACTGTGTGTGTGTGTGTGTGTGTGTGTGTGTTTGTGTTTGTGTAATATTAATATATAGTAATATGTATAGAAAATATTAATTAATCAGTTTTAAGTTGTCTTGGCCTTCAATAAAACCAAAATCTAGGTAGGCTTTGTCATACTGTCTAATCTTTTTCTTCGCCTCTGAAGAATCACTGCATTTACGTTTGTCTGCCATTTTTGTTTTGATTTTGCCTTTACGACACGTTGACAAGCAGATTGCGCAAGTGAGCAAAATTTAAATAATTATTTAAAGTTATTTATTTGAATTATTTTCACTATTATGTTGGAATTTTAAGCACGCGTTTAGATTTTTATTTATTTTTTTGGTATTTATAAATATATATATATATATATATATATATATATATATATATATATATATATATATATATATATATATATATATATATAATAGTAGGGCTGCTCGATTTTGGGAAAAATCATAATCACGATTATTTTGGTCATAATTGTAATCACGATTATTCAAAACCATTGCCAGTTAAAGTCAAAATTATTAGCGCTCCTGATTTTTATAAATATTTCCCAAATTATGTTTAACAGAGCAAGGAATTTTAACAGTATTTCCTATAATATTTTTTCTTCTATTTGTTTTATTTTAGCTAGAATAAAGAGAGGTTTAAATATTTTGAAACCAATTTAAGGTCAATATTATTAGCCCCCTTAAGCAATATATATTTTTGATTGCAGAATAAACTACCTTTATAATGACTTGCCTTATTACTCTAATTAAGCCTTTGAACTGCACTTTAATCTGAATGCTTGTATTTTGAAAAATATGTAGTAAAATATTATGTGCTGTCATTATAGCAAAGACAAAAAGAAATCAGTAAATAGAAATGAGATATTAAAAATATTATGTTCAGAAATAAGTTAATATTCTTTCCATGAAACAGAAATTGGGCAGGAAAAGGTTTGCTAATATTCAGGAGGGCTAATAATTCTGACTTCAACTGTATACATACAGTTATTTTCCACCCTGCAAAGGAAAGAGAAATAAATAGAATAAAATAATAATATGAAACAAACTGTGCTTTAAGCATCTTCACTGTAAGAAAAACACTTTACTACAGCAGTCCTTCAGTCAAGAGCAGCGAGGGTTTTCTTGTTATGTTTGTTTAATAATGATAAAAACAGCCGGCAGAAGGATTATAGCGCGCTGTATCTTTAATGGTTTCTCTTTCACGTCTTTTGATCCTCAACTCGTTTGTTTATTACACAAATGAGGGTTAATCGACATAATAACTAAACACCGCGTTTTGACACCTATTTGACCATTAAAGCGCTCACGTTAAGATGACTTTAGATGTCTGCGCTCCTCTGCTCGTCTCAGTGTGTGAATGAGAGTGAATGCTGACCGGCCGCATGATTCTGACTGCGTGATCGTGCTGCACACACACATAAGCTCTTTCGTGCTTTTAAGAGCAACACGTGTACAACTGGAACGTGGCAAAATATGATGCAATAATCATTTATCTCGATTAATGCTTTTTTAGAATCGATTTTCGATTAATTGCAAAGCCCTTTATAATAGTGGAGCATTTTTATGTCTTTTTCTACCTCAATACTTATCCTCTCCCGCGCCCCCCCTGTGAACTCTGGCGCCCCCCTTAGGGGGGCGCGGACCCCAGGTTGGGAACCACTGTCTTAACTCATCCTGAAACATATCAGAGTTTACATGCATTTTCAAAATTAGTGCTTTGCAGTCAACAGTGGTTTTGGATCTTTTAGGGATTTACTGAATCCATCAAATTAATTTTTGAAACCCCCTTTTATGGTACTTATTTAAATACGTAAATGAAGTGGTAAAGTTACTCTTTTACGCAAACTTACATTGCACATGTTTACCCAGGCATGTCTCTGTTACTTTTACTCTAAAGAGGGATGACACTAAGGTCATCATTTACTCTAGGCCCTTAAAAAATCTACTTTATTAATGATCATAAAGACAAAAGAAAAGATATGGTATCCCATCCTGGAGCGGATATTTATGAAAAAACCCACTCCTTCACTTCATCACGCAAGATGAAAACCAAATGCAAGCAAAAATATGGCAAACATCCCTCGCTGCAAAAATCAAAAAGTCAGTTTATAAATTCAGTCATTATAATCTGTTCAGTCTCTTTCCAAGATGGCCACCATCCTAGAGCATCTTTACAAGATGGCCGCCAGCTCAGAGTCTGTTCTCAAGATGGCCACCAGCTCAAAAGCTACATTCAAAATCCCATACGGCTCAATTAGGTACTAGTGCTGCAAAATATATTGTTTCAGCATCGACATTGGAATGTGCAAATCTACAATAGTCATATTGCAGAATCAAGTTGGGATTGTAATTAACTAGAAACCACAATTCAGAACATGAAATTTTACATTTGATTATGGAATTTCTGTACATAAACTTTTAGACTTTTAAAGTGCTGTTTTCTTTTATTTTCATCTATGCTTTTTTTTGTGTATTGTATTTTGCATAATTTTGTATATTTTATGCAGATGCACTTTCTCATACAATCATTCCGTCATACTGTGAAATTATAAATCATATTGCGAATCATAAATATCGATTTGTGCAGCCCTAGTAGGTACTACATCCGGTGCGTAAAAACGTATGCTGGATAAGTTGGCGGTTTATTCCGCTGTGGTGACCCCAGATTAATAAAGGGGCTAAGCCAAAAAGAAAATGAATGAATGAACATCCTGTGTACTCCATGTTGTCAATTATAAATTTTCTCTCATGTGGCCTCATGGGATAGCAGTGTTCTTTGGATATCTTCTCATTCCAAAACCACGTTTCATGTGCGTTCCTGTTGTGTTTCACTTGTGTTTTTAAACTATGAAGGTCATTTGACGCACAGGTTTTTTCTGTAAGGCCCACGACTTTATAAAATGATAATTGCAAATTCTTAACTGCAACTCAGACATTTACATGCAATTGTGAGGTAACATTGTCAAAATTCTGACTTTTCTCTCTAAATTCTCTGTTGAAAAATGATTTTAAACCAACTCATGTTTAAGCTGGTCTTGTGCTGGTCCTGAGCAGCTGAAACAAATTCTTAATTTGTGAATGGAGAACCTCTTATACAATTAATAATATTTCCAATCATTTTGTCTCTGCCATGAGAGAATTGCAACTATATACCACACGTTTTATGAGGCCCCAGATAACTTCTAAAAGTATATGTTCATCCCAGCCTACTGTATGTTGTCACAAGCCAACAATTTGGTTAATGTAGGTATAGTGTTTATTTGGAAAATTGCAGACATTACAAATGAAAACAGGATTCCCCTTCATTTTATTAAACATCAGTACTTCATAAAACAATATACAGATCATTCATCAGAACAATTCTTCATTTATGTTACTCAGATTAAATACATAGATTTCACATGTGTACTTTGGTTACAAAAATAACTAATTAACATTGATAAAGATACATTTCATTCTTTAGATAAATTCCACTTGTGCCATTTCTGTGGCATAGAGGATTGTTCAGATTCGGTTTTAATAAACCAATCCTCATTATTCCTCAATGTGCATTGTGTAACAATGTGCTTTTTGTAAAGCAGAGACTAAATTACTTTAACTCACACATACCATATGTATCACCAGGCTAAATGTGACAAGAAAGACTAGTAAATGATAAAGCTAGATCATAACTTGACTCGTTTGCATCTTGATTTTCTGATTCTGAGTGTGACCACAACCATGATTGTTGTGTAGTAGCATGATGTGGTGTTTTTGCTGCAGTGAATGTGAAGCTTAGTGCATCACAGCTGACAACAGAAGGGATGCTAAGGTCATCCACAATGCTGTTAGCATACTAGCCAGCACCGGAGACTTGCTCGCTGTAAATATAAAAAAGGAGATGCAGGTTAATTGTGGATCCATTTATTAAGGTCAGTCTTTGAAAACCTGTGGATATTATTCATTACTTTATTTTTCAAACTGAAAACTTGTTTTTTTGACAACCTCTATAAAATATGTTACTTTTCCTTAATCATATAGTATTTTTAGATCAACAAAGCCTGACAGAGAGATAGTTTAGAGAGGAATTTGCTACATGAAAAATAATATAACTGTATACTGACCACTGAATCCTGTGAAGTCTGTTATGTTGATAGTTGTAGGATCAATTGGCAAAAAGATTGTTTGGTTTCTGACAGCAGCACCTAATTCTTTAGCCAGCTCTGTTGCGTTAGGAGCATTAATGTTTTTGATAAATACAAGCAAAGCATCTACATAAATGGAGCCATTCCTGAGAAAAATAAATGAAAGACTAGTTGGTAATGAACTAGTCTAGAGCTGCTATGTAAAACATAAAACATATTCTGTGATAATGCTGCTTTTTAGAACGGTATCATAAAATTTTACCTGAACCGCCAAACGTTTGCACCATTGAAGCCTCTGAAATTACTGTAAAAATAATTCAGCTATAACAAATGAACAAACAGGTTAATTGATATTTTAATATTATATTGATCAACAAGGCAATGATTAATTAGACTGACATGCAAATATATTCAAAGTCTAGTTTATTACCTGACCGCTGACTGCCAATGACAGAAGACTACCTGCTTTAGAGTTGAGGTTTGCCAGATCACTGAAAAAGACACCTGCCATTTTGAAGGTGATATTATAGTTGCTTAGGACTACAGCCGTTGTGGCTACTGTTGTAGTTTGAGTAGTAACTGGTGAAGCTGTTGTACTCGATCCTGTTAAGAGCAGAATTAAAAGAAAATGTGTCACAGTTCAGCAATACTAGTAGACGTACCATGCTTAAAATTAGTCTCAAGCACAAAGACACTATTTTGTTGTTTATGTCTTTCATTAACAATGTAACAGAAAAGCATCAAACAGGACAGAATAAAAATATTAACTGACCGTCCACAGTAGTGATGGATGTGCTATTTATTGTAAAGGTGAATTCTTTATTGTTAATTGCCTGAACAAGGGTGTTTTTCGCATCGGTGGCATTAGGAGCCGAGGAAATGCTGGTATTAAACTGAAAATCAGCATCTGCCGCAACAGAGCCAGAACTGTGGGGAAAAATTATGTTGAAAATCATTAAGATAAACCAAGAAACATCCAAATAATCATTGGAGACAAACAATTCAATGATAAATACACACACACACACACACACACAAAAACAGAAATCTTATGCATGTATTTTAATGAAATTAAAGCAGGGTGTTTGCTTATTACTGAAAGCTGAATGGACAGTTTTACCTCAGCTTTTTAATAATCATCCTGATGTAGTTTTGATAACTTTTCTTGTAAACTGTATTAAACTGTAACAGATAGACAAAAAAAAAACATATAAATATCATATTGCTTTTACATATCAGTATTAAATAGCATCATGTTTTTTCAGGACAACATTTACTGTAGGAAACTTTGTTAAATGAGTAGTTTGCTAAATATTCAGGAGTTGTATCTATATTAATTGTTTTCAGTACACAACATTACATGTATTTTTTGCAATCATGATAAAAACAATGCTTTGTTGGGTAAAATATTACCTGAGCTGTGATATTTTGCACATACGATATGGTCCTTGGATCAGTGAAGTCACTGTAGTATGCCTGGAATTGATCCTCAATCTTGAAAATCAAATTAACAGATTGAACATTGGCAGGTAGAGTCGTAGCTTGACTTCCAGCTGTAGAAGCTGTTGTGGCTCCAGATGCAGTGGAAGCTGTTGTGGCTCCAGATGCAGTGGAAGCTGTTGTGGCTCCAGATGCAGTGGAAGCTGTTGTGGCTCCAGATGCAGTGGAAGCTGTTGTGGCTCCAGATGCGGTTGAAGCTGTTGTAGCTCCAGATGCGGTTGAAGCTGTTGTGGCTCCAGATGCAGTTGAAGCTGTTGTGGCTCCAGATGAATGTGTAGTTGCAGTGGTTGTAGATGTAGGCACTGTAGTTGTTGTAGTCACAGCTGTAGATGTAGTTGGTGTAGTCGTAGTTGTAGATGTAGTTGGTGTAGCTGTAGTTGTAGCTGTAGTTGTAGTCGTTGTTGTAGCTGTAGTTGTTGTAGTTGAAGTTGCTGAAGGTGTTACGGCTGCGGCCGAATTACAGGACACACATGAGACTCAGTTAAACAAAAGCTTCTTAGAATTGTTGTGACCTAGGGGCCTAATCTAATGACAATATTAGCTATCATATTACTTTAATTAAAATCTATAAACACAAACTGGCCAATACCTTGTTGAGAAACAACATATCCAGGCAGATTTAGGATCCCTGTTAGGTGAAATTAGGGAAAATAAAACACAGTAATTATCAGTGATGAACATAAAAACAAACCAAAAACTGAGGAAGTTCTGCAGAAGCTGTAGAGTTTCAGTTTAGCATTAAGTGGAATTTATTCAGCTGTATTGTTGTTTAAAGCACTATCACTTTCTTTTCACTAACCTTTCTCCTTTATATTATGGTTTAAGAGTATGATTTATATTATATTCTATCCTCTGTAATGCAGAAACAAATATCGTTTCTTACCAATCAGACACAGAACAGGTAGTATAATCCTCCACTCCATCGCTATGTTTTTATAGCACAAAGCCTAAAAATGAAAATTATTGTGAGCATGATGTAGCAAAGTTATAAACTAAACACATTTTGTGAGCTTGATTTTAAGCAAACAGCATCATACTGGTTTATTAAAATATGCTCACTATTTACTTGCGCTCAAGTGGTTTCAAATCTTTATGAGTTTCTTTTTTCTGTTGAACACATTTAGCTATTTTTGAAAAATTTAGAAACCCGTAACCATTGACTTCCATAGTAGGAAAAATAAATAACATAGCAGCATATGGTTACAGGTTTTCAGCATTTTTCAAATTTTTGACTCTTGGGTTCGACAGGAGAAAAAATCTCAAACAGGTTGACAGAACGACAGAACTTTAAAGGTTTGGATGAACTATCCCTTTAACCAAGTGTTTAAAGATTTAATAAAACATTATGATTTATTCCATGGACAAATTTCATGGATATATTGACATAAATAAATAAATAAATAATAAACAATGTAATATAACATTCACTGTTTACAACATTTGATATAAAGTTTGACAAAAAAGTCATAAAAAAATTCCAAAAACCTTTATTTTACTCACTTTTTAAATATCCCACCAAAAATGCAGTGCAGATTAATCCTTATAGCAGTGAAGGTCCTGTTACCAGTCTGTGCTCACCTCTAAAAGAACACAGAAGACAGGTGTGCCCATATTTAAAGGTCTGAAATTTTTTTTTGGGAAGAACAGACCAATCAGAGTTCAGCTGTGTGTTGATGGTTGTTGACAAACTTGAGGAGCAACAGTATCAAAATAATAGCTTTGTTTCCGGGTACGTGACGGTACATGATGACAGTTCATGTTACATTGACAGCTAGACATATTAGGGTAAATTTGCCCTAATTAATAAATGGCAAATTTAACAAACAACAGGTGCACAAAATAACTGTCTAATAATGTTGCTAGAATCAGTAGGACTTGCATAGGAATGACCTGAAAAACTGAGAATCTCTACGGAAAACCATCACTAATGTGACATTAACCTGACTAATTATTTTCAATCATTATTTGGAGTTTCTCAAGGTTATAAGCACAGGATTAGTGTTCATTAAAAGTATGCAATGAAAAATATGTTTGAGACATTCCTGGTGTCCTATTGAATAATTCTCTAGCAAAAGCAACCCCAATATTTAATTTATACCTAATGTAAATATACATGAAGAAAAAAGATAGATCAGTGTGTTAAGACAGGCTTCGTCTTTGGACAGAAAAGGCGTGATAAAAAAGGTGTGCTATGTTGCTAATCAAGTTGAATTTCCAGTTCATAAACAAAAACATGAGGAAACTTTGTAACTGGCTTTTCCAGCAAATGTAGTTCCTCATAACTCCTCATGCAAGATAAAAAGTCGAGCAAAGATATGACAAACATCTCTCACTACGAAAATCAAAAAGTAAATTGTGCCTATAATTTTACTCATTTTAATCTGTTCAGCTTTTCCATATGCAGTCTTTAAAAGTCTACACGGCTGATGTGTGTATGATTGTGTAGTTGTTATTATTGTTTTGTCATTCTCTACACTTTTTCCATTGTGACTGCAAGTAAACAGGCAAGAATGTTTTCCCCATGCCAAAACATCAGCGTCACAGAATGGTCACAAGACTCATATATTAATAGCAGTCAGTAAAAAATTTCCTCAAGCAATTGAGTCTACATTTCGCAACACAGAGTATCTTAAATGCCATTACTAATTGACCTTTTTACATTTTTTTATTGTATTTGAATCTGCAAAAACTTTTATACCCATTGTATTACTGCTATAATGTTAGCAATTGTAACAATCATTTCATCAATCATCTTTTCGAGACTGATTAAATAGGCTTTTTTGTAATTTGATGTACAAAGCTGGTTGATGTAGTCAATTAGTCAATCAAATATGAATGTACAAGATGAATAGATTTCAGTGACTCTGGTAGTGATAAAATTATGGGAACCCTATGTTGCATCTCAAAAATGACCAAAATCAGCCTGGAAATGTAAAAAAAATCAAACAATAATAGACAAGAGGGGTGATTTTTTTATTTTAATTTTTTTGCTGACACTTTGGTGGTATGGTGGCTCAGCACTGTTGCCTTACAGCAAGAAGGTTGCTGGTTTGTGTCTCGGCTGGGCCAGTTGGCATTTCTGTGTTCTCGTGGGTTTCCTCTGGGTGTTCCAGTTCCCCACACAGTACAAAGACATGCATTACTGGTGAATTGGATGAACTGAATTGGCTCTAGAGTGTGTTAATGTGAGAGTGTATGGGTGTTTTCTAGTACTGCATTGCAGCTGGAAGGGCAAAACATAAACTGGAATGGATGCTCTGATCAGAAATTTTGCAGCGGATACAGAGTACCGATTAATTGTCATGGTAATCGGCCAATACAGAGTACCGATTCTATTGCTTCAAGCTTTATAATCCAAAAAAGCTATTTTTCCCTATAAGTGTGATACTTAAGTGGAATGTTCACCTTGCCTAAGAGAATAAATTAAGGAAGCAGCATATAATCCCTTAAAGACATCTATTATAACCATTTAGTGTGGACATGTCATGGTCAGAAGGAGTTTTACAGAAAACAGATTTTAAAAAATTGTAAGAAATGATTAACAATGCAATTTAAAGAAACATTGCAAATGATGGAAGAAGAATTCAACATGTCTTAATGAAGAAAAAGTTTGGAGAGCATAATTGATGCATAAGAAGTTAACCTAACCACTGGAATGTTTAGAACATCCCTGTGCCTCTCTCAATCTGTTCCTCTGCTTGTAAACTCATAAACAAACACTTGCGATCGGTTCATGAGAACGTCCAGGGGTGCGTTTCCCAAACAACGGCGCAACTGGCGGTTGAACTATCCTAGTACGATGCATTGGTTAGGAAAAGAAAGATGTAGTGACGAGTGTTTCCCAAAACCCGTAGTTTCTCTGTTGCAGATCCATCGCTTGAACTACATTAGTTATAACATAATAAATGCCCATAACGATGCTCTAAACTGGGCGGAGTAACTACTTTTTTAGAGAAGAACCCCATAATTCCTTTTTGCAAATTATATTGTTTTACACGCACACTCATTTAAAATAAAATCCAAGATTAGATTTGCTAAACATGCACTCGCTTTCCATATTAACTAAAATACAGTTGAAGTCAGAATTATTAGCCCCCCTGATTTATTAGACCGCTTGTTTATTCTTTCCCCAATTTCTGTTTAACAGAGAGCAGATTTTTTTCAACACATTTCTAAACATAATAGTTTTACTAACTCATCTCTAATAACTGATTATTTTATCTTTGCCATAATGACAGTAAATAATATTTGACTAGATATTTTTTAAGACACTTCTATACAGCTTAACGTGACATTTAAAGGCTTATCTAGGTTATTTAGGTTAACTAGGCAGGTTAGGGTAATTAGGCAAGTTATTTTATAACAATGGGTTGTTCTGTAGTCTATGAAGAAAAACTATAGCTTAAAGGGGCTAATAATTTTGTCCCTAAAAGGGTTTATGAAAAATTAATAACTGCTTTTATTCTAGCCGAAATAAAACAAATAAGACTTTCTCCAGAAGAAAAAATATTATCAGACATACTGTGAAAATTTCCTTGCTCTAAACATCATTTGGAAAATATTTAAAAAAGAAAAAAAAAATTAAATGGGGGGCTAATAATTCTGACTTCAACTGTATATGTAAATGGCCCATAGGGCCTATAATATTATTGAGAAGTTGAACATTACATATTCTATTCTAAAACATATCACTTACAAAAGCTAACACTATACTAATATCATATAAATCATATAAATAAATAATGAGGCTATTTATTATAAAATGAAATGTAATATTTGTTATTTATTAGAAATGAAAAAAATCATACTTTAACAATAATATTAATAATGATGATGATTATTATTATTATTAAGTAGGATATTGTTTATTTATTTTTAGAAAAGTCTACTTTTACAACTTGACACATGTAAACCACTGCAGAAAGTTCTAACCAGCAGGCCCATGTCATATACATTACAGATACTTAATGAATAACCTAGTATAAATTAAATGTATTAACTTATGCTTTTTGTTTTCACAAGCTTTGAGGATGTAACATAAATTCCGCTTTTTAATAGTAGGTCACCTATAGCTTTCACCACGAGGCTGTGTTCAAAATGACATCAATGCTTTCGAAGGTCACTGCGAAGGGAGCACAATTGTAAAAATGAAGATTACTAATACTGAACAGTAAAAATAGTTTGAAAGCAAATTGCACCTAAGAGAGATGACTTTAAGGCTTTTTTTATTTTTAATAATTCCAACTTTGAATGTTAGAATGTTCTAAATGAATAGGGCATAGGGGCATAGAACACAGCCAGGAACAATTTTTCGAACTACAGCTTTAAGTTTGCGATACAGTTTTTCGAATTTTCATTGGGGCAACGGTTTTCGGAAAAGTCAAATCAACAAACTATGTTCGTAACGACAGAACTAGCGACCTTAATTGGCTGACGATGGTTTTGGGAAACGCACCCCAGATTGGCAAGCACCGATTGAGTCATGAATTTTGTGATTATCGGCCGATACTGATCACTGGCTGACCGATCGGAACATCCCTAGCTAGAATAGTTGGTGGTTCATTTTGCTGTGGTGACCCCTGATAAATAAAGGGACTAAGCCGAAAACGAATAATTGCAGACACTTTGTGCCAGTTAAATTCCTCAGTAGTTAACTACTGTTTTGTATAAAGACATGCAGTGAAACTTTGGCACTGCATAAATGTGGACGCAGTAGTTTATTGTAGATACAGTAATAATATTCTCTTTTATTACAGGATAGTATTTAAATGAATTAATTAAGCAACACAGTTTACTAAAATTAGCATTGGTAGATTTGGTAGAATTAACATTTCAGATGTATTACAATGTGCTCAGCCTGCTGGTTTGTCCATTCACACACATTTATATCACCACATGATCTCTTATAACAAAATCACATGACCTGTTTTTAATGCGCATACTGGAATTTGTTTTGTAAAAGGGTTTCAATCGTAATTTGTGTGCATCTTTTCCTATCGAATAGAAATAGTGCACTAGTTAGTGGATAGTAAGTGGTTTCCAAGTATTCATATATTTATTTTGACCATGAAATCTATGGTATTTACTGAATCAATATCAGGGGCGCCCCAAGAGGTCCCCAATATGATTTTGCTGTTGATATTATTATTTTAAATGTACTTATGTAAATTCCCAATTTCAATAAATAAATAAATAAAATGCAGCCACTAAATTATTGTTGGTGCCACTGACATTATTGTTGGTGATTCACTGCCCCTCCCTCTCCCTGTCCGTCATTGACAGCATGCACACACCTTCAATATACTACTGTATAGTGAGTGTGTGTGTGTGTGTGTATATAGTAATGGCTTTTGTTCAGTTTGTTCAGTTGTTTGTTTTATTAATTAACTCATTAATCTTCATTAATTTGGCATATACTGTATGCTGCAAAATAAAACTATGTGAAAAATTGCTGAAAGGTTATATATATATATATATATATATGTACTTGCTTAATAATTTCGAGGAATAAATTGCAATATTTCAAGAGTAAAAAATTAAATGAATTAAAACCACATTATTTCATTTACCAGAAACAGTAAC